TCCACCTAATTCAAATAAGGTTGTTTTCTACCATTATCCAATTTAGAAGATATGCAGTCTATGGAAAGAACTAATCTTTAAGGTCTTTTGCTATTATATGATAAACTTGTCATTAATTCTAAGAACTAAAATTATTTTACAGTGTCATTTTCTTAGCATGATCACTGACATTCATTTTTACATGATTTTAGTTCCTTTTGCTGAGGGTTTTGGTTTTTACTGTTTGGTTGCATTTTATTTTTACTTAAAATTGATTAAACTGTTTGTAAATATATTTACATTTAATTATGTTATAAGCATTTTTAAATATATATTGTGATGCATGTCTTTGTTTAAAATACAATATTCATACAGCATATGCCTTGCCTTGAGGTTTTGGGTTACTTTACAAAAGTAGTGATCTTGGTTGCATTTCAGTGGACATGTGAGCAGATGATGATAGAGGTTTTTTTTTTGGGTGGGGGGAGTTTGGAGTAAAGTGCTGGTTACTATCAATAAAGCACCAATGAGTCCAGTGTACTAACTTAAGTATTAGCATATCAATCACAAGACAATGGCTCCATTTGCCATGAATGAAACATGAGATCTTAATTCTCTTAAAACTACTAAACTATTGTTACTCTATTTCAAGTGAGGGTGTTACAACTCTGTATCTATATCTGAACTTGTTACATTGATGACTTACTCTGCTGTTCCCGGCCAGTGCCCTTGTCCTTGGCAGAGACGTGGACAATACCATTAGCATCGATGTCGAAGGTGACCTCAATCTGGGGAACTCCTCGGGGGGCAGGAGGTATCCCCACCAGACTGAACTGACCCAGCACTTTGTTGTCTGTTGCCATCTCTCTTTCTCCTTGACACACCTTGATTTCCACCTGCGTCTGTCCATCAGCTGCCGTTGAGAACACCTAAAAGTGAACAGAGATTGATGATGGTTTACATTGGTAGCTTAAAAAGGCAAACATTTTATGGCATAGTGCTGGGTTGTCCTTACCTGGCTTTTCTTGGTGGGAATGGTGGTGTTTCTGTTGATAAGTTTGGTGAAAACTCCACCCAAAGTTTCAATACCTAATGACAGCGGTGTCACATCCAACAGAAGCACATCGGTGACATCACCAGCCAAGACACCGCCCTGGATAGCTGCTCCAATAGCCACTGCTTCATCAGGGTTCACAGATTTGCTAGGAGCACGACCAAAAACTTCCTGAACCGTCTGCTGCACCTACACAAAAACAAGAAGTTTGTAACATAGTTGCTTTTCTCACTCAACTAGTAGTACACAAAATAATAAT